GTACTTCCGATGAACTTTTATAATATACTTCCTTCGATCCTAAATATAAGTCTTTTTAAATATTATAGTGCGTACTACGTACGAAGCAATGAATCTACACTTTAAAATGTGTCTATATACATATGTATGTAGTCTTTATTGAAATCTCTAAAAAAGACTTATATTTTTTTAACACTAAAGAAGACTTATATTTAGAAACAATAGATCCGTTTCTTTTCGGGAAAAGAAGGTTAATTTGGCTAGCATGTCGTTGTCGATTCACCCCGTGTTTAAGCTTTTTATATATACTAGTTGAATGCCCGTATGTTGCCATGGGTAAAAAAACACTATGATCAAATAATTTTTCAAATTAAAAAATGTGTGTTGGATATGATAGGACTGGTTTCAGTTCCTGGACAAATTGATTCTATCCCTCTTATTTCTTCCTAGACAATCGTTGTATGTCTTTAAAAACTCCCCCCTTGCATCATTTTATTCTCCTCACCCTTCCTTTCCCTTCACCTTTTTCCACAGTGTCGTGTGGGCAAGCCCTATTCAAAATCTTGTATTTTCATTTATTATGTTATCGGTTCAAAATATTATTTGATCTCCTTTTCGAATGGAAACTTACGAAGTACCTCTCACAACTAACAGAAAAGAAACATGAACTTTGATAAGTATAGAAACAAAGAACAAATCGTATTATCTCAAAAAAATAGACCCTCGCAAACAACATATACTACTCCCAAACCCAAAGAAAAATAGACCTACAAGAGAGGTATGCTTAATGTAAAACATCTGACTTTTATGTCACTCTCATAAAAGGTTATTTCTATATCGATCAAATGACTGAGAGGAATATCTTGAGTTCAAGCCGTTCTCTCTGAAGGGGTAGGTTGAGTTAAAGGTTGTCCTCTTCCTTCTCAAAAGGAACTCCCGACCTCCTTGAGAATATAAAGAAGCTTAAGAAACCAAGCTCTATGTGCCCCCTATCCTGACCATGGACAAATACAAACTTTTGCAAAAAAATTACAAACTAAAAATTCAAAGCGAGGATGTTAGCGATAGTTAGTTCAAACTCATACAACCCAAAAAGCAATAGTTAATTTAAGCTCTTACGACCCAAAAAGCATATGATTTGACCGCCTCCAAGTTTCAACATTACCTTGAGCTTTAGACATGCTTTCTGATTTTATAGAGTTACAAATAAAAGATTCAAGCATGACTGAAAATTGAGAGTGATGTGATGAGTTAGGACTGACAGGAACATTTAATAGGACAACCAACACGAAAACTACAATGACATACTACCATCACATGAAATATGTAAATGTATGTGCAATATTTAGGTTCTCAACATCTATCTCTCATGCTCTTCCAGTTTCTTTTCTCCTATCCATGCATCTCACTTCCAATCTATCAAAAAAATAGAAGCTTCCCACGTAGATGGGGCCTCGGCCAGCGATGCGATGGGAGCAGACATCAGCCTTCAGGAAGTACTCGTCAAGCTTGATATCGACTGATGACCACCTTGATTGATGACAGTAGCCCGTGAGAAGACGTCACACTCCGGCTCACCGCAGAAGTAATTCTGCACTCATGAAGACTTAAAGAAAAAGAATCAATGTCTTAAAAAATTAAAAGCTACACATATAAAAGTGTAAAAAGGCATAAGTGGGGATAAAATTGTGGAATAACTCTGATGAATGCACATAAGACTATGCGGCACTTTGATTATCAGAGATTAGATGCTCATAAATCGTAATGTACCCTTCACGAGCATAATCAAATCCTCATAAAAATAAAAAATATTATCACCACGAACCACATACAAGATGTTTCCCTCAAGAAACCACATACAAGATGTCTAGAAAGCAAATAGCAATGGTCATTTTGACAGGAATCAAAATATGACACATTATTCAGAAAAATAATTGTAATTTCAATGTGCATGCAACATGATACTAATTTATACACGCACAGTTGTCATGCGCACATCAAGCGCCATTTGAAAACAGAGTACTCCCCCAGTCCTAAAATAAGTGTCCTAAAATATAGTATAAAACTGTACTAATCAAAGAAACTTATTTTGGGACGGAGGGAGTAATCATTATCGGTATACATACAAAGTTCTTGGACAAACCGAAACCTACATGCAGCTGCAATCATGCATCAAACCTGCCAGTACAAAATACATCTTTTGAATGTTGAAATTTTACCGTTTGGTAGGCATCTGCAATCATGCATCAATTTCAGAATCATATCATGATTGAAAATTTTCCAATTTGGTAGTCTGTAGATTAATATAACAAGCAACAATTTGAGAGTTGGGAGACATTACTAATATGATTCACTTTTTACAACGTAGTTTCATCATGATCGGAAATTTCCCAATTTGGTAGTTTGCACATCAGCATTACAAGCAACAACTTTCCACTTTTTACAAAGCAGTTCATGTAGAAGATGGCAGAGAGGATGTGGGCTTGACACTACTGATCATCTGGAGATTTTGACTGACACCTTTTAGACCTTGTGATTAAAAGATGATGTTGAACTATTGGCAAAGATTTAAAACCACTCAAGGATTATTTAATCAGCACCATGATTCTACAATAAAGTGATCAAATTTTGAGTACCTCCCAATAACTGTTTGCTTCGCCCCCTGCAAAAATCCAAGCAGAAAAGATATCATAATGTGAAGAATGGAAATTCAATTAGTAGTCAGTGTACACAATCTATTATTGGTCAGTGCTTTTTTGACATATACGGGTTTACTAATATGCCAATTGAAGCTCACAAATGCGAATACCATGGTAGAAAATCTTTGTCCAGACATGAGGCATGAGGCCTGATGGGATCCCACGTGATAACTAACAAGAATGGAATGGTCCAAGCAGAAAATTATGGGATTAAAGTAGTAGAATAGAAGACCAAACCTGAGGCTGTAGCCTGTAGCGGCCCGAGACTCCTCGCACACCTGCATCACCACGCTGTCTGTCGCTGATCAACGGCGGGTCAGCCGCGCCGGCGCCTGCTTGAGCGAAGGCAAGAAGAGACCGACAGGAGAGCGTAGCAGCATGGAGAAGCCCTTGTGGAATAATGTTGATGAGCCGCTTCTCAGTTTGCAAGAATAATGTTGATCACATGTCATTTATAGGACAAAGATATTTGGGTGATGCCACCATTTTGCATATAACAAATTAACAATACCTATTCTTGATTCATAATTTGAGGCATCGAATGTTTTATGACAAACATATACCCGAAAGGAAACATGATATTGCTCTGTAGTTAAGTCTGACAAGCAATTATTTAGGAACACGTTACTAAAGCGGAGAAAAGACCATGCTCTTACATGTTGAAGCAGCCGTGTCACTTGACATCATGCAGAGAAGGAACACAAAGACAACACATAATCTGGGGCTGGGAGAAAAATCAATTGAACGGAAAGGCATGTTTCACCCACATCCTATGTCGTCTGATGCGCACGTACCATGAGGAATCGAGAGCGAGGGATTTGGGGGAAAGGAGTGGGAGGTGGGATACGGGGACGTGGGTTGTTTTACCATTTTTCTTTTCCTTTTCCTTTTTTCGTGTGTGGAAGGGTGGGAAGACAGTCCGTTTTTTTAGGTGCGAAGACAGTTTATATGTACGAGGGGAGGTCAAACCATCACGACGTCGATTCTCCTTTAATAGTAGAGATATGCGCAATTCCAATCTTAATCCAAAATATATATGTAAAAATTTCACGCCGGCCCAAGATCCAACGACCCATCACCGCCCATCCACACAGACCCAAGATCCAACGACCGGGAGGCCCCCAGGCCCCAGTACACGTGGAAGAGCTTTCAATTCACGGGGCGGAGCAGCGCACGGGCTCCTCGTCCTCGGAACCGAGGCGTCCGCTATCAAATCCGCCTTTGCGCCGTCCGTTCCGACTTTCAAGTCCGGCGTGGCGTAGCTCATCATAGAGCAGTTGCTGCCTCCCCTTCCACACCCCACTCCACCCCCCACCCCCACCCCCTCCGCTCCCACCCACCCACCCAATCGCCCCCCTCCATCCCCTCTCGCGAGGCA